AAATGAATAAAATGGGACTCATAATAAATGTCTTTGCTGAATTGGCGAGTATACCAGCATTTATGAAATTAAACAACCTTCATGGATTGCATTTAATGTGTACATATTAAGCTCCATTTGGCTATGAATCTTTCAAGAAGAAGTCTTATTTGGGAATAAGTCACACCTTGTAAGAATAAATCATTCTCAAGTCAATTTAGCTTCATCAACATTTCATGAGGCAGCAACAGTGGGGAAACACTGTCAAAAGTAGGTACAGCAACATCCCCCATAAATCATATTTGGTCCAAATATAATTTTTAAAAATATGAGGAGGATAAAAAAATTAAGGCAAACAAATGGATTCCCAACCCCTCATGTCTATTTAGCCTGGCACATATCTACTATAATGACCTCAGAGAAAATCGACAACTTGCAATTCTAAGACATTCTTGCTCTTACACTGGAAGGCCAAAGATATTTGAAGACTATTAAAAATTTTAATAATAACTGTAATAATTTAGAAAACAAAATATCCAATTTAAACTTATATCCAAATAATAACTACATCAGTAGTACATTCTTTGGTTTTTCCCTTGGTTCTGGCCAAAGAGTCATCTTCTGCTACAAGGCCATTGGGCATCCAGCTACAAAGCTGTTGAGTGGACCCTAAAGTAAAGATCCTATGGGAGGAACTCACTGCCACCGAGTCAGTTCTGACTATAGTGACTCTATCAGACAGAAACCTTGTGGGTTTCTGAGACTCTGATCTTTACAGAGGTTGCAAGCTACCTCTTTCTCCCGAGGAGCAGCGGGCAGTTTAGGGCTGCTGGCCTTGCAATGCGCAGCTCAATGCATAACTCGCAGTGCCAGTTGGAATTGACTTGATGACAGCGAGTGAGTTTGTTTGTTTTATTTATAGGGGCGCCTTCCTGCACAGAGTCTCTCAGGAACACGAATGCCCATAGAATGCCCTGGGTGGGTAGAAAGAGATGTTCTATCCTCCAGAGTGGCCAGCCTCTCCCTCCATACTCGTTCAGGAATGGACATTGTAAGTGAGCACATGAGGCCAGTTTCTCCAGGTCCTGGGATTATGCTTGGAGAAATACTGCTGAATAGAAAACCCAACAGACCACCTTCATGTTTGTTTAGTTAGGGTCGGGTACACAAGCTGGCACTGCCATGCACATATACTGTTTTAGTCTGGGTTGACTAGCAAAACAAATTCATAGACACTCATATGTGTATAAGAAAGAGCTTACCTGAAGTCTTAAAGACCCTAAGATAAACAAGCAGCCATCTAGCTGAGAGACAACAAAACCCACATGGAAGAAGCACACCAGCCTGTCCCAACTCAATCGCTGAGGACAAAGGGGGTGCATTAGCAAAAATGGTGAAGAAAGCAGATGATGCCCAGCTATCAAATGATATAGCATCTGGGGTTGTAAAGGCTTAAAGACACACAGGGGGCCATCTAGCTAAGAAACAACAAAGCCC